ACGTAAAATCTATATATATAGTAAAATAAAGCAGCGGGATAAACGTAGGTGGACGAAAGGATGAATCAAACGAAAGAATTAGTGAACTCCCTGGATTGGAACCTAATGACGATAATAGCAATAATAACGCGGACTGAAGCTAAGAACTATTAGACAAGTGAATGTGATTACAATGTCTGGAAAGGATGGATATTATAACGACAACAAGGAGGATTTACAACACACTTCCCAGACAATGCAGTAATAGGTAATGCAGTATAACAATGGATCTGTTTATCACCGTATATATAGATGGCTAGAATGGATTAGCAAAAAGGAGGAGAATCTTATATATCATCAGTCAATATTAATCACCATCAAATTGGAAAAAGCTGTTTCGGGGTTTCTAGACACATGTCAACCCAGGAAATGATAAAATGCTCCAGTAAACGGGTAATAAAACGTTCATTATTGAACGGCTGTTACAATGGTCACGGCATGTTTAACGGTTTTTACACTCTTCAAAAACTCAGTCAATATTATGTCCAAATGTAGCATCTTTCTTTGGGCTGAAAATAATCATTGCAACAATTGATCAGACATAACACCACATTGAATATTCTTATGTAATTACTACATTTTTGCATGATAACTTTTGAAGAAGTATAGGAGACCTTAATAAAAGTATAGTTCTGGGAAAATGAGAAAAGATCTCTTATTTTGCAACTCCAGCAAACTAAGGTAAGAAAAGCATAAAACGCTCAGATCATAGATTAACTTTATGTCTGCATTTTCAATACTCCCTTTCAAGATAGAATTAATAATTCTTGGAAAATTCTTGCATAATTAATAAAAAAATATTTACCAAATGAATTGGAATTTATTTATAAAAAAGATGACTAACGAGAAAAAACGACATTTTATTTAGCAGGAATATATGCAGTTATTTGCTCCCGTGTTAAATTTGTAAATTTAGCTGCCAATGGATTTTCAGTTTAAATCCCGTCGTAATTAATTAAATTAGAATCACATGTATCACAGTTTCTCATCCATAGTTAGCTTGAATCTTTGTGTAGTTGCAAAACCAGTTAAATGATTTAATACATTTTAATACTTGTTTTTTCAACAGTATCTGAATGATTAAGGGATTATCAGGTCATCTATTCGATAAACAGTGCCTCATTTATGGTCCAACAGCACATCGAAAAATGACCGTACATAGTAAGCCCAAAAACGGAACAAAATAAACAATGAAAGAAATTATCTTGCATCAAATTAAATCGGAAAAATTCAAAAGTAGTAGGTACAGCGAATTTCTAATAGCTTTATAATGGAGTGAAAAGTCGAATGACCAAAGAGAAGTGTTTCACATGGTTCTCGACTCTTTACCTTGTAGTGGGTCTTGTGATGCTTCAAATTAATAGCCATGGGAAAAAGAAGGATGAATCGAAGTCAAAAAAAAAGTCAAAATTGTAATATTTTTTTTGTTTTCTCTGTGTTAGGTACAGTAAGAATTTCTCGGAGCCCTCACTGTAGCATAAATTACTCGTATCTCTCTTTACTGCTCATTTACCTAAGCTATTTCAGCCCTTGTTTAATACCTGTCTTCAAGAAATCACTTACATTTCATTCTCTCCATCTCTTCGTATTAAATCCATCACTTTAGCAAAAATAAATCAATGTTTTAGTCATTCCACCCATTACCTACTTATTAGAAATTCAAATATAGCGCTATAAAATGTAGGCACAAAAGGTGAAACTTCGAAGGAAATGAACATATTAAAAAGTAGTCCAAATATCTCGAACTGATAACGTAAATAAGGTATGCTCACAACTGATTCAGTGACAAGTTTCATGCATTATCGGGTGATTTTCCCTTCTTATCCTTTAATATTTCGTGTGATGAAGACCAACGTCCGTCCCTCTTTAGCCAAACTCCACTGAGTTTTACACGCTTACTTCAGAATTAGCAATTTTTAAAGCAGTGCATTGTCAATAGTTTGATCAAGAAATTTCGAAAACAAGAAAAGTGTGAATTTGAAGTATCAACTACAATAAATTAGGAGTAGTGGCAAATTTCGGAGCTGCAAGTACTGATTATTTCATAATTGCGCTCACCGAAACAGTTGCCGATGAAGGGAGTAATCAGAAACGAACACAATTACAAATCGAGTAGTCAAATTGTAAAGTGGAACAGTAAGGAAGAACTTATGGTAACAAAATGGGTTGACAAAAAGAAACGGCACAGGAGAAATTAAAGAGAAGCAAATCAATAGAAGAAAAAAAAAATGTAATCCTTTTATTAACGATTGTAGTATATAGACGCCTTTCTGTTCCATTAGTAACTATTATTTCACATTCACCTGTACTTCACTGCTTGCTTTATTGAGAACTTGATATTTGCAGTTGACCAGTCGCCTTACATACGGCATTGAGTTTTTCGTTGTATAGCTAAAACGATTATTGACAGCAAACGTTTTCCTTAGAAATGCGCAACATTTTCAGTTAATCAAGGGAAGAGGTTCTCACGCTTCATGCTAGATGCTACAGAAAATTTTCTTGCTTTAAATTCAAGCATAATGAGATGATTTATGCACATAAGAGCCACAGTAAAGTCCTTTGGACTTATTGCTTCACAATTACGTTTAACATTGAATCTTAGTATTACCTCTACAGTATTACCGCTAACACACTTTTTGGTTAAAAGGTTGAAAACAACTTGAAGACAAAACATAACTGTAAGGAATAAAAACTAAGATCCCCTTTCGCTTCTTTCTCCGTTTGACCTATTACTATCTTTTGAAGATTTAACCTGGACGTTAAAAAATAACAAGTTTGAGGTGATGAAGTTTGACTCGCAGTACATTGTGACTAAGGGTGTACTTCGATTTTCATCAAACAAAATATTAAAGGAAATCCAAGAAAGGATAGTCACAGCAATTTTCTTTGGAAGAGCTACGCACGTAAGAAAACCAGGAAAATGGAGGAAGTTATGGAAAATTTTTAGTAGGTCGGGAATTGACAAATCACCCAGTCAGTCTGTGCATAATGTTAAAATTGCGTATCATGTTTTTTACAAACCATTTTGCAGCATTACACAAGAATGCTAGAGATTGTGGAATAAAATAATACATCCGTTCCTTTAGAATTGCATCCAAAATTTCTTCAACGCATTTATCCAATGGTATGACATCGTAAAATCTTCAATATTTCAAAAGATGCAGGCATGAAATTGATTCGCAAAGGTTATTAACACAACTTAATATATTTGAAAATAAAACACAATTCCTAATCACAAGTTCGAGTCAATAAAAGCAACAATTAATGGTTATTTGAATACTTGAGAAATTTACTGAGAATCTTACATAAAGAAATTCAAAATTTGAAGTTTGCAATAAAAGGAAAATTTACGTGCTGAACGGTTCTGTCATATTGTTTGAAATAAGTGCTGTATCAACGAAATACGGATAAATGGTTGTCAATACTATCCCGTTTTTCTTCTCTTCATAAAGTTCCATTTGAAGCGTTTCCATTAATCCGCGGATTGCAAATTTAGCTGTGCTACAATTTTGTAATTAACAGTAATGAGTAGTTAACGAGAATAACAGAAACTTAGTTTTAAAAAGAATGGAAGTATAATAAATGAGTTTGATTTTGCCTAAAAAATATTCTTCAGGAATATGTATGTTTTAATCACTGATGTAAAAAAAACAGTAACGAAATGAATGCGACAAATAAGCCCTATTTTTTCAAAACTTTGTCTAGAGCTGATTTGAGGTGTTACCAATAGGCAGTTCCAAGATAATCTCCATAATGACTACAAATCGATCCGATAGCGACGATTTGCCCATGATTTCGGTCCATCATATGCGGCAAAAAGGCTCTCATTGTCTAAATCTTTAGTCTACTTAAAAATGATGCGAGGAAATCAAGGTAGACAAGTGATTCTTTAAATAGCAGAAAACCAATTCCCGTAGGACAAAATATTGTGGAATTCAAAAACTAGACAGAAAAAAAATTTCCTAACTACTAAAACTAACATAAATGTAACCGAGAATGTTGACATTCATTGTGTCTTGATAATCCTTATCATCCAAATCTATGAATCTACCGATTCGAAGTATTGATGCATTACAAACTAAGACATCAATGCCACCTAAAGGTTTTTAACGCTTTGTAAGAGGTATTTTGCCTTTTTTATCATGCAAAAAAAAGTGAAAAAAACCTTCTCTCTTCTCCTTTATGTTTTGCACTATGCTTTAGAGAAATGTTTCAGTCTATACTGATAAAGAACTGCTGATGATCAATTTAATCATCCTCTCAAAACTTCCACGTTTATAAGCTTTTAAGATGCAGTTTCAAACCTTTTTCGAATTATTAATATATGGAAATAGCTGCAAGTGAATAAGTTGCACGAAAGGCAGTAAAGGTACAAAAGAAACTTTAGCGAAACTATTCGCTTTAGGGTATGGCACTTATTTCTTGAAACTTGGCCCAAGCAGTTGCAGAGCTATGCTTATTGTTTTTCGTTCTTTTACTTTCCCAAGGTAAAATAAAATTAAAGGTACTGTCATTAAAAATGAATCTAAGTATAACTGTCAGTCTAAAGACTGACACACCAATTTTTGTATCACTAAATATTTGTTGTGCACACAGTTTTATTTCATCGGATTTTGCAACATTACACAGGAAAAAAATATGCTCGTCCACCACTTTCGATAATTTGTGATACAGTTCGAATTCCTTCTTCCTATGAAATAAGATTTTTTGTCACAAACGAAGATAAACTCTTTGGGAAAAGTTCGTATATTTATGCAATAGATTTGTCTAACCGTGTGAATGATGTCTGACGAATTATATTTCATTAATTTAATAGTTCAATTGTATAATTTCAGCAAAAATCGCTTTGTTCACAAAAATTGAAATATGTGCTTTTTTCGTGTCCAAAATGACAAAGTCATTTGTACTATTTGTCAGCAATCTTTATTAGTTCTATTTTGTCTTAAGTTTCGGAGAATAATTTCTTCTAAAATTTATTCTAAACATAACTGCGGATTGTACACTTTTCGAAATAAAACATACAAATTTCACAATTTCAATGAACTGTCAAATAAAATACTACCTGATTAATATCCAAAATGCAGACGATAGCGTTCTCCTCCAATGCAATTTTCTGCGCTAGTCCTTTACCAATTCCCGATGCACCACCAGTGATAGCCACCACCCAAAGTAAAATGAGTAATTTTCATAATTGGCTATACAGGTTTTTCTTGAACTAACAAAGTACTCATGAATCCCAACTTTTCGATGAATTTGAAATTATGGTTCAGTTTTGCACGAAATTAAGGTAGGGTCAAAAGAATGCATTGCTACCGCCGCTATTATTTAGTCACAAATTGATTCAAACCCGCCTAGATCTGGTTAGCTCATTAACTATAGAATTTATCAATCGATAGCTCAGATTTGTGTCGTACGAATGCGCTATTTTATGTTTTCAATAAATTGGTTCGTATTTCACTGCTGTGCTGAAAAAAAAATGTCTGGAATATCCTCAAAGTTCTTAGCAATAGCTAGAAATTAAAACCTGGTCGGTTATTGATTTCCTTTTCAGTGTAATCATTCGAGGCAAATCTCGAAACAGTATACATAAAACATATTGTAATGCAAATTTCAAACTGATCAATATTTGCTGATGAAGTTTCTCACGACCCATATTATCTGAAAAAATCTATGGCCATACTCCATAAGATGAGATGCAATCATTATGCCAGCGTTCTTTTCTTGCTTCTGTAAATACTATCACGTGGAAATTTAAGACAAAACATACACACACACACACAACACACACGCACACACACACACATAAACAGCAGTGCGGCATTTACCTCTACACCTGCAACTTTGAATATAAGTTTGGAACTAGTTCCGGACTTCAATCTAGCTCTAAATACCGCTTTTCCTGCAAGTTTTAAGTTTCGCACGAGATTCATATAATTTGAATGCATGAGACTACTCATCATTAGTTTAAGTGTTGCTAGTTGAAAATACTGATAAAAAAATGCACTTTCTTACAATATAAAAGAGCTGAGCATGATAAAGTCAGCAAATGATCACTAAGACAGAAACTGCAAATAGTTCCTAGAGGCTTTGATTCATGAAGTTAGATGCTTTCATAGGATTAAAATAAGTATAATTAGCTTTTAATTCACTGTTGTTATTCTTGCCAATATGACCGTTACCTCGTTATCACTAACACTGAAATTATGTTTACTCATTCATCTCTCCAAATGCCACGATTCTCAAATAATGAATGTAATTCAGATTTGCTCCAATTCCACACTCAATTCACTATGTTTTTGGGAAGAAACTGAGCAAATTTCTTCTCGAATCTGAAGAATTGTTCCCAGGTCCTCAAACACGTAACCTATAAAATTTTTCTGAAGAAAACTTGACTGAATCCACTTTAGTCTTGATTTTTTAAGGAAATATTCCTGAATATTTGCGTAGAATACCTTTCTAGATTTAAAGTCAAAAAAAAAGACTTTAAAAGAGTCTGAGAAAATATGTTAGAATATTTTCAATAATCCCAGATCGATTGAAAATTTCCAAATTTATACTAGCGTAGTTCTTAATAAACGACGACAAACAGCAAAGGTATAAGGAAAAAGTACCAGTCATTGATTGTATCTGGCAGAAGATTCATATACACTGTCAAATAATTTATAAAAAGCTGTCTATTTGCCATGCATCTAAATTATCATTCGGTAAATTAAACCACACATTAGTGAGCGATACGTTGTCGCACCATCTCACATCATGCTCTTGAAATTCAAAAACCTTGCCCTTAACAAATCTTTGCTCTGACAGTTTCGGTAAAGAAAAAAAATGACTATTTTATTTCATCTTACCTTAAATTATTTTGTTTAATTTCACCTTTGATGATCCTACTCCCACTCCACATCCCGCCCAAAATGTAATGCAAAAAAAAAAATGGCTCCTGGAACATCCTTCTTTAAACAAAGAAATACTGGTTTTTTAAAATTTCTAAAAGAACCGGCTGCATTTATTGGAGTACCAAATTCACGACAAACACGTTTATTTATAATTGTTTGGATAATTTTGTTCGACTACTTTTATTTATTATTATTATTATTTTTTTTGTATTTGCATGCATTTATTTCAGCATGAAGCTATCGGATGTTCATAAATTTATTGTCAATTCGATGGAACATCAAAATAAAGCGATGAAATTAAATAACCATCAAATAAAATTAAACGTGGAAATAAACTGATTAAAAGGAGGAATTATAAGTGACTGATTCATTAGAAGCAATAGGTATTGATTCATTAGAAGAAGGAGAAATTTTAAGCGACTGATTCATTTATGTGTTTTTTAATGCTTCTTCCTGCAAAATAACAAGAAACATTCGCTTGAAGTAGTTTGAAAAACTAATACATCTAACTATTGGAGCGGAAACTTCGCTCGCTAAAGAGGATTTCTGGTTGGGCTAGAGCAAAGTGGACCTGTAAACGAGGCCAATGACTGTGGATAAATTTCATTCATTTGGAACTGAGCTACTGGGTTACGCAAAACATTATTTCCAGCAAAGTCAAAAGGTTAATAAAACTTTGATTATAAAGTAACAAACTTCACCTGTTACCCCCTTCGATGATAACAAACGACATAGCACTTGTTATCATCAAGTCTGTCTCGCACTCATTTCAACCACTCTCTGAGAACTCTGAGTCAACCTTTGTTATCAGCTTTTTGCGATAATATTTAGACGTCGTTTTTTCGATCGCGACATTGCACGGCCTGTTCAAATAAGTCCCTTATGATAATCAATTACAATCACTGCAATCAATCTCAGGAATACAATCAGAATGAATCAAAAACGTAGAACACTTTCTAATTAATTTTAGAATCAGTCTAGTCGTATCGAACAAAATTCGTGGAAGCACTTTGAAGTTCGAAAATTTAATTACTTAATATAAGGAAATCAACTAGCAAGATAGAACTTAAACCCAACTAGTTTTTATTTGTGAATTTACTCATTTCAGAGATCTGATACATCGCTGCTTTAGAATTGAACACTTAATCCTTAGGATGACAAATATCATTTGTTTTTTGCATGGAGGAGAAAATTTTATAGCGCAGTTTCTGCTCATGAATACAGCATCCATGAACAAACTGCTCACTTTCAAATGAATTCAGCGATATGAGATTTCCCCTCATTAAGCATAAGAACCGGACCCGTTCTGTAACTACAATTTCTTTTCTCATTTCCATGATTGGCTACATTATAGTATCAAAGATCTTGACTCAAGTTTCTGAAACGCATCCACGCATTAATCGATGTCCGCTTCGAATCGAAAACTGATACTGTCACTATCGGATACTCCATCTGGCACTGCGAGAAGAAATATGAAACGTGCAATGTCGAAAGAGAAATGAGTTGGTGATTTCAGAATCTAGAATCAGTACCAAACTAAACAGTTACGACGCATCGGAGAAGTAGATTATTAAAATGTCCAAGCATGATTTCCCCGTTTTTCGTCACTTTCTATTTTTTCGGAGCGAAACACCGAAAAGTAAGGAAGCTTTTTCATTTCAAAATAAGAATCGTGAAAAGCAGCAAATATAAACATACTTGCATTCAACCGGTTACATGATTTAAAACATATCAAATACAAATCTACATAAAAAAATTCATGGAAATGGAAAAATGTGACAGCTAGGAAGTCTTCAAACACGCTCAAACAAACTTCAACTAGATATTGAGATTTGACAAAAACTAAATTTAAATGTTGCGATTTCAATTCAGAAATCAAAAAATAAACAGTTCACACTTTATGATGCATAAATAACCACTAACAGGTTACATAATTTAAAAGGCATCAAATACGTATGTGCATGAAAGAATTTATAGAAAAAATGCAACAGCTACAAACTCTTCAAAAAGCATTTTTAACTTTAACAAAAAGCCGGCGTAAAATTATGTAAACAGAATTCTACAAAATACTAGTTCTGAATATATTAAATGCTGCGGTTGATAACAGTAACCTGGATTTTCGTCAAATTCATTCCTTTCATTAAAGTTCATACTTGAAATGCCACTATCCCAAATGATAGTATTCAAATCCGGAATGGATATGAATAGTATCTAAATCCAAAAGAGACATTTTGAGTTTCAATCTGTCTAACATACAAAGATATTTCTAAAATACTGTCGCTTAGTCGACTGCTTCACCTGTAACTATAAAAGCAAGAAAAAAAAATCGTTCCTTATGTAAATTAAAATACGAAATGAAAGTGAAGAGAAACTACATTTCACACCAATCTATAAATCAATAGCACTACTGACGGAACGAAATGATTAGCCAGCAAAGAGCAACATATTTTAAAATACTGAAGACTGTTCGGAAAATGCACTTGAAACAAAAAAGATTTCAAATAAATCTCAAGGCATCAATATTTACTTATTCGAAATATATTATAGAGCATACCGCTCTAATTTTCAAGGCACAGCTTCAAAACAACAACCAGATAAGCGATAGGCATTCTGGACAGGCTAACGTGGTAAGCAAATTATCTTTCTTTTGTTGACCACATTTTCCTGACATTTTTTGGAAGCGAAACCAAAACCCTAGCCAAGGCCAACATGGGAAAAGGAAAAGTAGGAAAAGTGGGAGGGAGTTTTACAAGGCAAAACATAAGTTAAAGGCAATAACTTGGATTGAATGGATGAAGATCGAAAGCTAAATAAATGATAGGAGAGTTAGGAGGTTTACTCGATATACGTCTCTTCAGGAGGGTTTTCATGGCTTTTTAAAAAGGACTGTTACTCCTTAATGCGAGCAAAAATGTATGATGAAGATGAAGACATCAACCTCGCAATTAATGACATTAAATTTCATTATACAAATAATCTGGGATCATCAAGAAGATGAGCATATTCCAATATAATGAAACAAAAACGAGCCCATTTAACGAAGAATATGTATGTATTTAACAATGCAGTTGTTATAGAGGGCATATAAGTTGAAAACGACTGTCTTACGAATTTAGTTTATACTTACAATGTGGAAATCACAAAAGTGTACGGTCTCTATCCTGCTATTTTTTTGAGTTTGGAAGTCCTTAAAAAGATATCCAAGATGGAATTAAGCTCCTATTTGAATTACTGTTCCTGTTCCAGATAGAAATTTCAGCAAATAACTAACTGTATATCACTACTAATACTAGTGATCTTAATTACGTTAACCTTAAAATTTACAAAATAACGTTTGTGAAGGGAGGAAGGCAATCGAACACTTCACCTATTACTACTTTCGTTCACAGTGAATACGAGACCATCATCTGACAAATCGTCATTTTCATCACTTTCTTTTGTTTCTTTTTTCGAGCTAGTTGAAGCTTTATCTGTTTGTTTGTTAGGTGACTCTACATCCACATCTTCCATTTCTTCCTACAGAAAAAACAAATATGGAACACTTTCAGCCACAAAATCTACAGGCTCATCATGCAAAAATGGTTATGATTCGAAATGTGCTGGTAAGAATGCAGCGTTAATGGTACTTAAAAAAGCACCAACAGTAATAAATCCCATAGAAATTAGACTTGAATAAATCCACCACATAAACTATAAAAAAAGTTAGTGAGTTTTCATTGGGATTTACTAGTTGATGACTGTTATCGCTTTTAAATATCTGGTGAACTTCATTTCCTGATGAAAACAAACCTGAGCTTTCCTCCAAGCATGAAGTTGAGTTAATTTTTCAGTCAGACATTTGGTAAAGTACTGTGAATGTGCTGGTGAAATCTCTTCAAGAAGTTGCCTGGCATTGTCATAATATTTCGCATGCAATTCAACCTGCAAAAGGAAAATGCATCTTAACACCTGCTAGATAGTTGACTGAATATTTCGTAGCGTGCCTAACAGAATTTTTTGCCAAACGTTTAAATGAACTCTATAGAAAAACTAGCGAAAAAGAAAGCAGAAATACTCTCTAAAAAAGTAAACAATTCAAGTCAAATCGTGTTAAAAAACAATGAATTAACACAATACCCGTTTATAATCTCCATTCATACTATCACATTGCAACGATGCAATCCGCCATCCTTTCATTGTTAATTCTAACGTATAAGGATGACCTGTTTATAGAATAATGAGTTCAGAAATAAAGGAAGTAAACTTTATGAATTTTTGGCTTTCACATCAATGAAAACTTGGAACATGATGCACTGGCAAAATTAATTGTCCAATGTGATGAGGAAAATAGAAAACAATTAATACAAACACGTCCCACTTTATAATTCACCAGTTGCTTTACTCGTCTATGTTAATACAAAAAAAAAAAGAAAAAATCCTAGAACACTACAATATATATCAAAAACCTGCTATCTTGGAGCATCATATTATTGAATTTCTTATCCAGCAAAAGTTAACATCAATGAAGTAAGAAATCAATAAACCAAAAAGAAATTCCTTTTGCGTAAGACTTTCAGAACCATAAAAGAATTCCGAAAGAAATGCTGACCCTCAACAGTTTTGATATTTACGAAAATCAAATCGGCTGTTCTCGGTAAGATTTCTGAGACAGCAATTGAGCGTACTTCATCCGAGAGTTCGTGCACGGCGGCTATAGCTTCTAATTCTAAAGGACCTCCAACACTTTGTTCATTTAGTGCATCACCAGCTTCAGCATGACGTTTTCGATTAGCGCGACCTATTTCAACGAGAGAAAGTGGTGTTCTAAAAATATGCGCTATTTAAAAGTTCAATACACCTGCATGAGAAAAACAGTTTTCGAGTAACCAGTCATTTTTTCCGATTTCGAATTTTCTGAGAACTAATAGATACTGTTTCGACAAATATATTCAACAGTAGGAATAGAGAGAATTATTTAAGACAGAATAAATGTACCACGCCGTCAAAAACTTTGGTGACAAATATGAAATAGTAGCTTCATGCGTCTGGTATTTAAATTTTGAAGCACAATTAGTGGACGCAAGTGACTCAAAATATCATTTTAGAACTAATCCGAATATATTCCAGTACCAAATAATTTCTTTGGTAGTAAGAACGAAACAAAAACAAGGCCTTTGGAAAGCGAACTTACAAGGATTAATTCACAATTCATACCCGAAAGTGTTGTGAACAGTGGAAAGATGATCGGATATTAATGCTGGAGTCAAACTTGGCGGATATATGAATGCTTCGTGAAATCCATCCGGTGCTGGGCTGTGGGCACGACTATGTGTCCGGCTGCTTTGATAACTTCTGTAAATTTGTGCTGCGCTTTGCCAACGAGCCGAACTAAAAGAAAAAAAAAACAAACAAACAACAAACTAGTCTTTGTCAGAATGTGTAGTACCTCACAACAACAAACATGTATATTTCATGTGTGTATACGTGTTAAAATTAAAAAACAACGTGAAAATCTTTACTTCATCCACTTTACTTAAAAAAAAAGGAAGAAAAAACAATTCTACGTTAAAATATACAAAGAAATGCATGCTTTAAAGTGGATTTTTATAAAATCTTTGTGAAGGTTGATGAATCTCAAACATTACAGAAGCTACTGTAATATCATACAGAAAACATCGCACGATATGCTATCGTGCTCATGATGGCTGGATTAAAGTTGACATTACGTTCATAAAAAAACGATAGGAAGCTTCAAAAAAAGGAAATGCATCTAAAAAATAATGCAAAGCTTCCATCAGATCGTTAGAAATGTTTAGTTCATAGGTTATTACTTTTCACCAAAAAATTCCCTGATAAGTTTGCAAATCACGCCTGTGCAATGAAAAAAAGAAAAAACTAATGCCATGATTAGATATTTGCCATCAAGAAATTTGACGGCAAATGATGGAGCATAATTAGAAGAGTACCTTAGATGAGAATGAGTAGGATTACGGAACTCAACGAATATCAATAATACTGATGGTAATTTACGAGAAGCTATCTAATTAGGTGACTATACTTATCTAATACTACGTATTTTTTAAAAATAAAAGAGAACTCAGAAGTTAATTTATTTTTGTTTTTAAGTCTGAACGAATTTCTTACTAGATAGAGTAATGAAGTCTTACTTTTGTTGGCGATAAAGCGGCGAAACCCCAAGGCAATCCGCTAAGCAGTTTGCGCTGGGTGTACCTATAGGATGAACTCCATGAAATGAGAGTGCCGATGGTGGACCTTTACAACTCGGCGATGACGGAGGAGTGAGCGGTGGCGAATGAGCCATCACTTTTTATCCTAAATTACGTATCAATCTGAATAATTCAGTTTGAAAAGAACCGCAAATGCATGTGCAACCAATACTTAGTACTAGTACTGCAACCCAAACCATTACTAACCAAAGATATGACTAAACCTTTCAGTAAAATCCAACCGCTATGTTGCACCACGGTGCAACAGTAGTTACAATCGGGTTCCTGAAGTTTCGAGTGAATTGAGAAGGAGAAGAGGCTCAGGTCAGGCGATCCCATAATAATCTAGTCAAATGGTCATCTGAACGGGATAGTTTAAGAGCTTACATGAGACCATATCACGTGGCCTACTCACGTTCGCTTATGAACCCAGCGTTCTGTCAAGTTAGAAAATGTGTGAAGATAATCTGGCATAGGCGCGATAAAAAAAGAAAAAACCTTATGATTAAACAATAAGCAACGACCAAAAATTATCCACAACAACCCGAATTCTCCATCTCTTGCTCAGTGCAGGGATAAATCGCTGTGAAACTTCACTGTCTCAAATGCCTGGTGGACGTATAAACCTAGTCACACGAATCCTGAACCGATGCATTTCATTAACTCACCACAAACTCTCAGAATTCTCATAGATATGAGGAAGTCTGATTCAGAGGTAGAAATATTGTCCTATACTTCAGAGTTGCCCATTACGAAGAAGGAAACTGTCCCCAAACTCTCTCTACACAAAGGATTACCCTGTAAAAAAGACGGAACAAATTGGTTGGAGATGAATATGAAGTCTGAAAAATCTATGTCTTGGTAATGTTATTCAAACTCTGCATCGCCTCCTTTCTAACTTCTTTTCATGTCGCGAACGACAATGTTCGGAAATGATGTTTCGATAAAACTTGTGCAGCCTAAGGTTTTGCCTTTATCTTGCTATTGCATAAGGTCCACTTTTCACTGTTGCTTTAACCGCTCAGCGCTTTACACATCTTCAAGTATAAGGAAAATCTCCGATGCTTAAGTGTGATAAGATTGTGTGATAAGACTTAATGTATCATCCTTCATCAAACGATAGCTGACATTACTAGAATTATTCCAAAAATCACAGCTAAAGCAGACTTCTTTTTCACTTCGAGTCTCCATTTTTCAAGCCTTTATATACCTGTTAAAATCAATACAATCACATTTACAATTCAAAAAATAACTGAAAGAAAATAACACATGGACGGAAACTGAGCAATTAATGCACTGATCGTGTTTGAAAATACGATGAAGTAATCAGCGAACGAAATCGCTGACATTTTTAAATTTCTTTAAACTTTTCTTCAAAAACTTGACAAAGTCATACGGTTGTACCACGACAGTGAAAACAGACAAAGGTAAAGTATCGATGTGCCTGAATACTTCATCATCTTTTGAAAATATATTCAAAGCGTGCCTGTCTATACATGTGATGCAAGCAGGAGTTGTGCCTGTTCGTGTAACTGCAGGAACTGAGGGCCGGATACCGGCTTCCCAAGCTGGTGACCCCTCAAGCACATCAGCCAGCTGAAATAAACTGCAAATATATGACAAAATTCCTGACGACTAAACCAACAAAAGATAATTCGGGTTTGCAGCAAAAATCAGTAAGCATTACTTTGATTTTACGTTTATTCAAAATCAAGCCCGCATCAAATTTTTGTTTCGTTTTGTGCAGTGTGTAGATTGTCCCGTGAGGCACTCGCTGGATGGCAATATTTATCTGAAATAAAATATCAGCCATGTCATCGAAGAACTTGTCAAAAATTTCCAAAGAACCAGGAACATTTTATAAAATTTGCCTTGAAATGAAATAGATGAGACCTTTTGATGGTTAGCGTTTTTCTGTTGACACAAGTACGACCATCTCAGGTATATAAGAACGATTCCAGTAAACAAAAATATGAAATATTGCGATTTAGAAAAGTACCGATAATCCCGTCTTTGATGCAGCACTGAAAATGAATGGAATTTGTTGTGTACTGTATATGTCAACATCAGCAATTCGTACAAGTTGATCACCAACGAACAACTGGCCGGCAAGATACTTCTCAGCTACTGCAGTCCAACCCGTTAGCCTTAAATAAATTAATGACTTGCGCCACGATTATTTGAAAATGACACCAAACTGGGAAAAATTTGAAATACAGTATGGAAATCAAAAGTATGAGTTGAATTTTCTGCGTAACCTTGCTGACGATAAAACATAATAGTGCGATATAGATTAATAAACACGTAATTGCTGCCAATAGAACATCCTTAAAAGTCAAGAATTCAGAACAAGAAGAGGACATTGTGACACTGACCATACTTTCCCGCCGAAATCCACGTAAGCAATATGCTGCATGCATATGAAGGGTTGCACTGTTAGATTTCTCAAACCATTTGAAATACCACTATTATTGATGATCTGTGAATGGTTATGATCTTCAGCTAACATTTCACTGTTGTTCCTTTCACAAGCTGAATGAGCTTTTTGCACCATAGTGCTCGTGACTGGCGAGATCCGACTAATCATTCCAGAAGGTGCGTCATAATCGAGTAAGAACGAATCATTCCCAGTAATTCGACCTGAATGAGCTATAGTGACATTCAAGGTTCCAGCTGGGACAGAATAACCACGCTTCATCGATTCGGAACACAAACTTATTGGTGCTGCTATTTCAGTGTCCAGTGATGTAGGTACCTCCAAACTGCTATAAATATTTATGATTGTAAATGCCGTCATACATTAATACAACTGCCGATTTGGTAGATGAGAAACTTAGTTTCCACTTAATTTTATGTTTAGTTTCCACTTAATTTTATGTTTTCGATCAAGATTAAAAGTGATTTAACTCAAAAACCATTGAAAGGCTTTTTAGTATTATTTTTAGTTTTTGGGAGTTCTATGTTTTCCTATGTTTTATTCGCCAGGGTATTAATTTATTGACAAACATTTAGAAGTGGAGACTACACAAAAACGTGACCACTGCAAAAAACTATGAAGCACTGACGCTACAATGCACAAGAAAATCAAAATTGATAGTATAAGTTATAAACCTATAAAGAGAATTTTGAGGAATAACTGAAACATCTCCTGGACGTCCTTCCACACTCAATGAATCTCCAAATGATGAGGATGCACGATTTTTCGGATTATCATATATTGAAAAACGCTGAAAAACTTATATGCTATAGAATCTGAGTATTTTGTTCACGAAAACCGAAGGATGAAGAAATCCATCTAATTAATTAAGGAAACAATTTGGCGCAAGCTGGAAATTTTACCTATTTTGTATTCTGGATAAAAAAAAGGAAAAGAAAATTGGGGAACTTTTTCAAATCAAGGAATCAGTTTCCAGTAGGAAATCAACTAAGTTCATTTAAGATTCGAAGCAAATCAAAGAAAGACTGACTTTTGCACCACTTTCGAGAACTTGAACTTGTGAGGACAAAATATTACGGGGTGGAAGCGGAGGTGGAGTCTTCATTACCCCATGATTCGTCACCTTTTTCTTTTCAGTGCTCAGCGTACGAGGTAAAGATGGTATCCTACATGATTGAGTTGTCAATGATAGAAATCTAATGCGTTCGTACTCAGGGTTCCTTGGAGTAGAAATTGGCAGTGACGGCGCCAGTTCTTTAGGCACCTTAAAACTTATAGCAGTTGATGTTGAATCATAGAATCTGTTTTCAATTTCTATTGTTGGAAACAAAAAAGAACTACGAAGTAACAAAAGATAAAACCTTTGATTTCATATCGATATTTAAGTTATCCCTTTGGTAACAATCCAACTTGAAGATGTTATGAAAAGTAATTCGCGTTAATAACCTTATGTTGATCCATATTTTGAATTTAAAACATAAAACAAAATGTCCTCCGTTTATTAGGACCACAGAAAAGAATCAAACTAGCGCTGTTCATTTTCCGTTTCATTTATCTCTGAATCTGTCATAAAGCATACCTCATCAAGACCTGCATCTTCATAAATAAATTGCTCGGTTGTTTCAGATGATTCAGATGCAAAATCAGGTACCGAAATATAAAGATTTGTAGATTCCGTCAGGCATTTTAATCGTACGAGTGTGGATGTTATTGACCAAATCCAGTCATCACAATCTTCTCTGGAAATATCGCTAACATAAGCAATTTTGGTCTTTATCTTTCTATGTGTTCCAAAACCCAGAATACGCTAGCTAAAAACCTGAGCAATATCCGATACTCTGAAAAGACCCAAACTTCAAATTTAATATCTGCGTATCAAGCTTATTTATTTTATGTATAAAAGCAATGTAGTACAAACTAAGCTCTATATATCGTACTACCTAAAGCAGAAAATGACGCTTTAATAGTATAAATTTTCTTTATAAAAAAGAAGCATTACATTGTCAAAGCAGAAAGTTCAATGGCATCACGTGAACAGTCCATAAAACCAATCATGAAACTGCGCCTGGATGGGTCACTTATGGTGACTCTTACAAAAGACGAATGTAACAAATCGATTACCTTCGAAGGTCTAAAATTATTTATGCAAAAATCCGAAGCAAACGTAAGGATGAGAAATTTTTTTTTTTGATTGAATGTCCAGAAAGTGAAGCAGAATTTTGCATGTAAAATGTCATTAACTGCAGAGATTCACTAAAAATCTCAATCCAATTGACTTTTCGACATCAAAATACCTATGTCCATGCATGAATCCTTCCGAAAAGTACCATTCCAAAAGTGGTATACGATCACTGTGAACACATAGTACGACCCATTTCCCTTCTTCATACAAAATTTTCTGGAACAAGCAGAAGTAATGGATAAAAAATGGAGCAATGATCCCTTTTAAGAATGTGTGAGAGATATAAAATTAAAATTTACCTTTTTACGATGTAAAGTGCCACCCTTTTTATGCACTACATGCTGTAACCAGTTTGCTTTTACGATTTCACGTTGTTCATTCATTCATTTGTTCCTAATCGTCAAATCTGAAAATTTTCATACCAATAACAAGTAGAAATTAATTCGACATAAAAAGATCGAAAGACGCATGAAAAAAAAGGACAAGTTCGAATTAATTCTTTATATACTAATTGAGGATTTTACCACATAACACCAACGCAATCTCCACTAACATTTTAAATGTTTTATTGATTGCAGCTTTTAAAAATTGAAAATTTTACATGCCTTTGGACAAAAGCCTTTGCACCTCAGGCTAAATCATTTAGTAGATAGACGCCGAGAGTATTATTGTTGGAGACAAATATCGACATTTGAAAAAAGTCTCATGAAAGGGCATGAAGACTTACACTGTCACTGTAATGTCAAAAACGACGCCATCGACTGAACCCCACTGATGATTCAAACAAAATAATACTGGAGAACGTCTCGTATCACTTTATCCATTTCTTAGTTCAACTTCATGAATTAAACGTTCATACTGAAGTACGAGTATTCGAAAATCTGAACTTCCGGTTTATTATGTTTGTTATAACCCGATAAACTAGTTGTGCGTGCAGTGAGTCACCTCTTCGTAAGCGAAGGTTAATAATTAGTTTTGAAAGTCCTTAGGTGAATTTAATCATTTAATCAGTCAAGTCAACCTGAACAATTTAAGCTAAATTCACAATTCCGCTTCATAACCATTAGCAACGTGGATGCCTTCCAAGCTTAACAACAATAACTTAGGAAGTCTGATTTGGATTCTCATTTAGAAACCTTATTTACAGCCGCTAATTGAGCGTTCTTGCTAACAATTTCAGTGCAGAATGTTCAGCGCTGCATGTTAGAACAAGTATTTTAAGAAAGTTTAGAATCATTCAACTTGACTTCCAATGAAAATGAAATGCTCTCGGAAACACTGGAGAACTTTTTTTAGTAAATTAGTGAGCATTGCTCCTTGTACTTCATTTTCAGAAGGGACTCACAAAAGATGCTAATAATTCGTAAGCGCATGACGTGTTCCTCTCCCCAGTGGGTTGACAGAATTCCTGCGAAACGTCATTCACTTCATACAACCTTTCCCACTCCGCGTCCATCCCAACCCACTATTCCACTATCTTCCCCAACACTTGCGATTGAATAATTAGCTTTACGGATTGTCGAACTAATGATTTCATCAGTGTTTTACTTTAAATTTAAATTTACATCACTTCTTCGACTCCATGCAATAATGGCTAATTTTCCGGTGGAACTGAATAAATGTCGAATTCCAGCCTCTTTTTTTTTTATCCCATCTAATCATTCCTTGTTGTAAGCAACAGAGAATGATTAGATGGGATACGTTACCCATCTCTTCGGAGACAACCGGCAGACGCTTTGTAACAACTAGTAATACCCACGGGAAAGAAGATCATCCTGCTCATCATCCTATCTCCATTCACCTCCACTCCTTCGTTTCATCAGATTTAACATGGTGTTAGCAGCGCCGATCGCATTACAATAACACCGGGAGTATCGCACTGAAAGTCCGAACGGTCTTGGCGGCCTCAATGAACGTTATCAGTAACTATTTATCAGGCAATCGTACACTTTCCATTGCATCATATAAAGGTCTGTTTCAAATTAATCCATTCAGTAGAGTGCACGTTTCGCACCACAGCATGTTCATCATCTGTTCCCAAACTTCCTTTTTGTATCCATTTTTACACTAAGTTTCTTCTGCACTTTTACACAAACCCTTCCCAAAAACTCTTCTGATCCAAGAACTGTGCGATGCAGCACTAAGTTTTTCCCCTGGAATACCCACTCCAAGGGAAAGACTTAGTATCAAAGGGTGCGCTGAGAATGAAGGCCTCAATCGCATTTTCAATCATAACCGCTTAAAAACCCACAGTCTTATGATGTCGTCCGAATCGGAATATGATATTTGGTTACGAAATAACGCTTTCAGTATAATAATTATATAGAAGTTGAACGGTCCGAGTGGTGAAACCAACGACCAATTTGCGACTGACATTTAATACAATGTTAACAAACAAGCAATAAATAAGACATACTTAAGAGAGAGTAACATTCCAATAGCTATGTGAGATGTGGGATAACGATCTACATAAGATCAAGAATACTACAGTGAAGAACAATGAAAAGCAAAATATTCAGAGATACCTACCAGGACTCCTCCCCCCTCGAGGTCCACTAAATATGTGAACACTTAAACCATCCTTATATGTCGCATCTAGGGGGAACTCATCAGAAAGCTCGCTTTCTCCTCCGGCCCCTGCTGGATCCTAATGAAAAGCTGCATCTCACTAGGGCTTATTGGGGCAACACTGTGAATACGAAACCCTTGACCATCACATACTTCTCCAGACTCACAAAGTATTTACTTTTAACCAGATTTGCACTACTCTAAGTAGAAATGATCATCTGAATGATGAAAACCCGAACCACGCTCACACAGAAGTACACTACACCTGATATTAGGTTATTTCCAATTCTTCTTGAGCTTTAACAGAAATTTCACGATACTTCTGATATTTATACCGTCATCCTTTTTCTCTGTTTCGCTTTCTGACCGTTGTTCCCCAGCTATTTTCTTAGCCTACCATAACATAGTCTCCTCCAATCTTGTTGATTTCCGTTCTCCTTTCAGCTGTAGTGTGTAAGTTTGAATGCTCGTAATCCCACTCAGTTCCTGCACAATAACTTTTCACACTCCCTCGCCTCCCCCACCCTTCCCTCCCTAATAATGTCACAGTTTTTTACTCTCAGCAGCCGTTTCATATACTTTCAAGAGAGATTATTCTTTAAGTCTCTATCGAATTCTTTTCATCCTTTACGTCATATCTGAAAAAAGTTACGCATATTGGCTAAGAAGAATTCTGGATTGGTGTAGATTTCTAGCAGTTGATTTGGGATATTCGCTTACTACTTTCATTTATGTTTTAGCGTGCCTACTGAGTGGAGGGTACCGGTTTCGTGTGTGTTGAATTCTTGTGTTCCAGGACTTATTTTCCATGAACGGAATTGAAAAGTAAAAGGAAGATGGAGAAGATGCGGGAGGGTTTACAGCGACGAGCTCGTCGTATGCAAGAAAATTTGCAGCAGTCCGTAGGATTGTATGCTTTCTTTTGTATTTACCTATAAAATACAGACTGGTACTACTGATGCTGTTTGCTATTACTGAGGGGAATTGGAGGTGCCCAGGCTTCATTAAAAAAAATTTTTCCACTGCGTCGTGGATAAAAATTAGGAAGTTAATGCCCCCTAAAAGGTCGGCAGGACAGACTATCCTCCCTCGCAAAAGAAAGAAGTCTGGATAATCAAAAATCTTGTACAGTGCGGTGAATTTCAAATTTTTATCACTGATTTCAGTCATCCGTTGTTGAAAAAGTTGCTTCCAGGTCTGAGAAGAAAGACGAGCTGCAAAGTGTAAGTCATGTCGAACAAAGGAACCAAAAAATTATTTTAGCGGTAAAAAACACGCGACAAAATTTGCAGAACTGTATAAGAAGCGTCAATAGGGAAGAAGCCATTGATAAGCGCAAGGTATAATAATTTTACTTCAGGCTTCGAAGCTGTTCAAAAGAAATCACTTGTTGAATTCAGAGCTAAAACCAATAATATGTTACCAAAGAGTGTGGCTGTCTGTTGTAGAGACGATTGGATGAATTTGGTCTTTGGCAACAGCTACTTACGGATGCGAAAGAGTTGGAAAATGTTTATCCGCGTTCGCAGCCATCTGTTCTTGCTGATACACTGAAGCTATATGGCGACGCTATGGGTGTAATTCTTGAAGAACGGGTCCTGACAGATCAGTTAATTGAGAAAAGGTTGTTTTGGGATGTTGATGTAACATATTGTGAAGATAGTATCTTCGAGGAACGTACAGTAGTGTCGTTTTCTTCACAAATTACTCACGTTATAGTGTTCTGGATGCTTTCGGGAAGTATATGGACGATGACAAAATATTATCGAAAGCGAAAGAAAAACTAGCGCGTACAGTTGTTGATGTTGAAGTTAGCAGGAAACGTAAGCAGGGAAATCATGATGAGTCAAAGGCACAAGAAATTCAGGATGAATATGATGGATTACAGCTTAAATTAGAATCTTATAAGGTTGATTTTGCATACGGGATGCAGGGTTTGTTTAATAACGTTTAAAATTTGTTGAATAATTGATTAAAATACTTTTCTGCATTCAGGACAATATTTTTACGGATATTTTCATACTGCTATCAAGGGAAGCTGAAATTGCTGGTATTTATAAAGAATTGATTACTGCACAAATGGAATATCATCGGACAGCCTTGCAGAAACTCGAAAACATCTTACCTGAAATCGATAGGAAAATCGGTAAACACTTCATATGAAATTTGAAAAGGCCTTATTTCGTTGTCTACGAATTCTCTTCCAGCCAATAGGGTTTCCGCGCGGATTTGAATCGCATTGTGATCATCAGTCGTAAATGTGTACCTTGAAATAAATCTATTGTTCGCCTCAGAAAACTGTGCAGCAATGAATACCTATAAATTTATTATAAATTTATTACAAATTTATTACAGCACCTTGTATTACTTTAAAATTAATTTATTCAGTAATTTTCATATCCTGTACTACTTCATTACTTGCTTGTTTTTTTTTTTTTTAGTGTTTATATCTTCTTTAGCTTCGTATCCTAATCGCCCTGTCTTTGGATGTCACCTCGAAGATCATTTACGTTGCTCCAATCGTTCGGTGGCTTTGGTTCTTGAAGTGTGTTGTTCTATTCTGAATTACCAAGGTTTCCAGGAGAAGGTTTGTTAATTCCTAATTTTAATATGAATAATATATGTTTCCTTACGACGTTTTTATGGTGATTATAATTCCATTTAGAAGCATTCATAATGTATTCTTAATTCAGTTTATGCATGGAATCCGAAAATCTCGTATTTCCGCGATTACTTTATTTCTAGGGTCTTTTTCGAGTCAGCGGTAATAACAATCGAATCAGGCGCCTCAAAGCAGCATTTGATGCCCATCAAATAAATAGTAGCTCACTGGAAATTGCTGAATATATCAATGATCCTCATTCAGTTTGTTCAGTCTTAAAATGCTATCTTCGTGAACTTCCTGAACCATTAATGACGCATGCTCTTCACTCAGAATGGGTTTTCATTGCCAAGTAAGTTGTTTTTTGTGCAATTAATTATTGGTTTCATGAAGTTGCCAAATTGCCAGATTTCTTTTCCTACTCATACAGTGCTAGGGTGTATAATTTTCATATTCATTTAGGAAGACATTCAGCTTCAATTTGAACACAGAACATAACTCATGTGACACAACTAATTTTTGTTTCAAATAATTTTAAGGAGAGATCCGGATTATCGGAAGGAAGCTATATATCGACTTCTCCCTTCGATGCCAGAAGCAAATCGATACAATCTTGCCTATTTAATCAAATTTTTGAACTTGATATTGGATTATGAAGAATATACGAAGTAATTTCTTTCATATATATAAGTCATGTGGTAATGGATGGTTTCGAAATTCACTTTCTCATAAGAATGGAAAATTTGAACTCTCGATTTTGTTACAGAATGAGTGTAGGCAATTTATCGATCGTTTTCGGTCCGAACTTGATTGATGCTGGTAATGGTACTGAATCAGAGAATATACTCGGTTCAAAATTGGTGGAAACATTAATAGTCAATGCCAATTTTTTCTTCCCGAACTGTAATTTCTTGAACATACTTTTCGGTTTTCGCATCTCTGTCTATTAGTTAGTGTGATAGCTTCCCAATTGATCGTCGTATCTGCTTTTTTCTTTTGAATGCAGAAAAAAAAAAGGATTATCTGTTATCTTGAAATGAGCTTGCTTAAATTTGAAATGAATCTTTTATACATCAAACTAGAATCAGTCTTTATGGAAGTGTTACGAACATGCTTATTAATTTGTTAATTACAGGATTTCTAATTTTATGTCTTGGAATTATAGCTGAAATACTTTCCAACGGATTAGTTCCATTGAAAGGACTGTAAAGCTTTGACTTCAGGCGTAATTCTATGCTTTGCTTTTAGACGATAATGCTATTTCTTATATAACAGTGCATGAGCAACTTTGAAATTTATTTGATTTTTTTAAGTCGTGAACTTTACATTTATAGATAACTTCGACTACACATCACCACTGCTTGATTCATTTCTGCAACGAAAATCTGATATAATAAATAGCTTTGGAAGTGGTGATCGCATGGCCGCACGTGGTACACAAGGACAACAGTATATTGGTTTTCGCCATGCACAAAGCAACAAGTAAGCTCCCAGTTTGGAATTAACACTATCGTTAAGATAATCACAATCAT